AATTTTATTCAACCATAAAAATGGAATCTGAAAAAAAAACTAAAAAAAAAAAAAAAACAATCCAGAAAAATGTAAATAGAATTTTGGTTAACATTAATTGGAATTTAGAAAAAAAAATTATTTCACAGGGTCTTAGTTGATATGTCCTCAATATTTAGGGGGAAAGAACTTGCTAAAAAGTTGTTATAAATTGGTAATGTTTTCTATCAAATTTTCCATTTGTTTACACACAATGAGGGCTGAGTTGAGCTGATTTTGTAGAGCTGCATCTCTGTCTCTCTGTGTGTCAGGGAATGGCTCTTCATCAGAAGGTGGCCGGAGAGAGATCGGGACCCAGTTCTGCTCCGGCTCAGTCCTTCCTGGCCCAGCAGAGACAGTGGACACAAGCCCGCAGAGGCCTGTCCCGCCTGCAGCCCAGATAGACCCACTCACACCGCTGATCCTGGACGAACGCTTCTGTATCTGTCTGTCACCGGCCTGCTGACAGCCGAGAGAGGATGTCTTTTATCAATGTGTTTTAAATGAAGCTTTGTGTTATTTTTAGTTGATCTGAGCGTCAGTGTGTAGTCGAGTTTTAGTTTAGTGTTAATTAGTGCCAGAAACCACTGCGTTTAATGAAGTAGCTTCTTTTAATGATGTCTTTTTACTGTAGTTTTGGGTGTTGATCAGGGTTACGGTGCATGTGAACGCACTTTACACACCCGGTGCCTTCTGCCATCCGTCAATCATCTGCTGCACAGAAACCAAACGCTGAATGCTGGAAGCCTTTAAAGCCACGAACAAATGACGTGCTTTTATAATGATTTTTTTCCAGAGAGCTGCTGTGTTTTAATGACACTAATCATGGAAGTTTCCACCGGTTGCTGCTTGGCGGTTTTTAGTTTTTTTTTGTTTTGATGTAACGTCACCAAAGTCGCTGGTATTTATTGAGGCGGAAACACTACTGACTGTGAACACTGTGTTCTGGCCCTCGTCAGTCCGGATGCTGAGCTTCTTTCGTTCGTTCGTTCGTTCGTTTGTTTGTTCTTCCTCCTCTGAGAGTTGCGTCACAGTGCTGATGTTCATGAGTTGTTCGTGTGTTTCTCACGGTGTTTTCATCGTTCGCTCTGGACTGATGGGGTCGGTACGGAAATGAATGACTTTAGTCTCACTGTTCTTCTCTTTGCACTACAATAAAAGAGGTTATTGGTACAAAATACCAGAGCTGAGTCTGTGTGTTTGCTTTCGTGTTAGTCGCTTTGGATTAACAATAAATGATGAGACACCAGTCAGAAATGGATGGATAATAAACCTTATTATTAAACATGATCCACAAATCAGCACTTGAAATACTGAATAAATCAGATGAATAAGTACATTTATTGTTAGATGTATGCTCCATGACTCCATGTTTGCCTTAAAGATAATATTGAAATTGTAGAATTTATAGAACACTTTTAAAAGGTGAGCAAAAAAAGTAGATCAATATTTTGTAATATTTGCTGACAAATATGGAACAGTATGTTAAAAAGATGCTAATGACTGTTTTATAGTTCAGGCGTTTTAGTATTTCAGATTCCAAATATAATCACGATCATGCTGCATTTCGCATTGTTGTGAAAAATGAATATTATAAATATGTGTAAAATAGTTTCTATTATGTTGCATTATGTTTTCTTACTGTGGCACTGTACTGTTAGATGTGTTATTGAAATCACTTTATTTTATTTATATTACTTTTTATTTTTATTCCAACTTTTTATTTAAATCAAATTGTATGTATTCGTTTTAATCCAATTTTATTTAGTATTTCTTTTAATCAAATTTAGCTAGATGAGATGATCTTATTTGATCATTTATAGCACTGAACTGTTATATTGAATAATTTTAATCTAATTTATACGTAAACCAGACTATTGATTTAATTGTTTATTTGAATCGTTTGTAATGATTTATTTAAATTTAATTTAATAAGATGAGTTAGTCTAACCTAATTGTATCATTTATAGTACTGTATCAAATCATTTTAATCTATTTTATCTAAATGCATTTTTATTTAAATCAAATTGTATTTATTTTATTAAATATTTTTAATTATTTATTGTAATCTAATTTAGGAAGATTAGTTAGCCAAATCTTATTTTATCATTTATATATTTTTTTTACATCTTTTAACTCTTTTTCTCTGAACAAATCGTTTAATCTATTAAATGCGAGGACTAAAAATGTCTACCTGAGTCAAATTTTGTCCAAACAGTCTTTCTAAAAACTAAATTAGCCTGTACATTAATGGTTTGTGGATTAAATATTAGGCCTAATCCAGAAACCACCGTGTTTCTGCTGTGATTTTTTTTTTTTAACATATGTTTTCATGGATAATACAACTACGAAATAAAATAACTTCACTAAAAAAAATGGTTGTATAAGCAATATTCACTCAGAAATTGCTAGTAAATTACGCAATTAATTACAAGTCAACGGCAAGTAACGCAGTGAATTAAACGTGAAATTTTAAAGCAGAGAGACTGAAACAGTATTTTCCTCTACAATGCGTTCAAATAAATAACTAAATGTGTGTGTGCTGTATGTGCAGTGTTTGTGAGAGGCGCTGCGGTTCTTCCTCCGGCCTGCAGGCGGCGACGGCGCGTCTCTCGCCGGCTCGAGGTTCGGGCGCTGACTGCAGATGAAGTGCAGTATGGCGGAGCGACGCTGAAACACAATAAACCTGTGCGAAAAACATCGGGGTAAAACCCCGAAATCCTACCCTACCGATTCGCCCCACAATCCGGCCGCTCTGCGATCATAATCACACTCGGACCCGCGGCTCGATAATCGCGCTCTTTCTGTTTGTCGCCGACGGTGTTTTTGTTTCGTCGCGACACTTTACGATCCCATAACAAGGCAAACTAACGTATTAGTCTTTCATTTTCACCTTTATTACGCGTATACGCATTTAAAATACATTTAATTCTTCATTAAACGGCAAATCGTCGCTTCGGTGCAGAAATCAAAACACCGCAGGAGTGAATGTAAAGGCTTTATTTATTATTTCACCGAACGGCAAAACGATGGAGAAAAAGCAGCATAAATCAGACAAACATCACCGCCATCATCATCCTCATCATCATCCTCATCCTCACCAGTCCTCCAGCAGCAGCAGCGGGGAGTCCGGCGGCAGCAGCCCGGCTCACGGGGCGCCCAGAGCGGCCAACGCCTTCGCCAACGACGGCAGCTTCATGGAGCTGTTCAAGAAGAAGATGGAGGAGGAAGAGAGGAGGAAGAGAGAGGGCGAGGAAGAGGAGAAGACGAAGAGCTCTCCTGCGGCTCCGGACAAGAAGCCGCTAAGTGCGAGCAGCTTTGTAAGAACGGCAGTGGACGAGCTTTACATTAGCGTAACACACGCACACACACACATAAAGAGAGGGGTGTCAGTAGTTTCGGGCCACTGTCGCTTCCTAAAGCCCGTGTAACGCTGTCAGTCTGTTCCTGTTTGACTCAGGTGGGCAAGCGGAGAGGAGGCGCGAGACTGGCACTCAAGACCGGGATGGTGGCCAAGAAACAGAAACTCGACTCCGAGGTGAGATACATGCTGTTCAATCACGGTTATTAGCGATATGAATAAAATACGAATGACTATAGTTTACATCAGGGCCGTGCACAGACCTTTTGAGGGGCATGTGCTGAAACTTATCAGCAATCATAAATTTCTTAGAAATATATTTTACCTAGGTGACGAGGATCACTCAGTCGCTTTGTGTCAAACTCAAATGCAGTTACGGGGTTTTTGACCAGTGAATGTGTGCAAATGTGCATTTTGTCTGTCATTAAAACGGCGGCGTTACGTTTTCATCACCAGGTGTTTGTTGTAGCTATATGGGCGCGGCGCTCAGTTTCAAATACATAAATTATGAGCCTTTATAGACAGTGTTTCTTGCGTAAAGAAAACGCTGTACTTATTCAAACAACAAGATCTTTATTTACCCTTGCAGACCTAGTTCAGCTGCTGTGGAACTTCAGTTCATTCAGTCAAGATAGAGGGGGTGGAGTTATGAGGTTTACTGACAGTTTGAGCGGATCCAACAAGATTTAGTCACGAGCTCTTTTTAATACCTTTCATTAGCTAAATATTTGTAAAGCAGACAGACAGATGTAAAGGGTGACCAATATCACTGATTTATTGAAGGAAAAAAAAACACCATCACCAAAAAAATGGCACTTCGGAGTGTAAGGGCAAAAAGGGCATGTGCTCTGCACAGGTTGAGCCCTACCTGTGCACGTGCCTGGTTTACATTATGACGCTATATGGAGATTCATACCGTAGATTCATACAAATAACGTATATACATCAGGGGTCTCCAACCTTATTTCATTCGCGAGATACTTTGTAAAAATGAAAGCGGCTGAGAGCTACCCATATTACACAATACTTAAATCTCTTAAATAATGTATATCAGAACAAACTGTTATACACGGCATTGTTAAAATGTGCTGGAAATATTAAATAAAGTACTGATACACACACTGAAATAATTTTACCAAGTTTTATGACTAAAGCCAACAAATAAAATTAGCAGCACACTATGCACTTTGTTTGCATAAACAGTGAAATATAAACATTAAAAAATGATGGCCGGATTTTAAAGTAACAAAAAATGATAACCTGTTATCTACTGACATGTACTACATGTTCAAGTAAAGATTTGACTTTTATTATTTTTTTTTAATTATAACATTTCAGCTGTTAAATCTTTTTTTTTTAATAAAAAGGATTAGTCAGGATGATACATTTTATCTGGTCCATAAACAGTTCTACATAAACTAATGTAGAAACTGAACACTTCTGATACCAAGGTAGCCTATTCGCATTGGTCTGAACCATAGACTGTATAAAAACATGGATGTAGTGTCCGTGACGTCACCCGTAGGTTTCCGAAGAGCGTTTTTGAAGCT